CGTCTTCTATTAGATCAAACAGTCACATTCCCAACATTGCAGATTACTGGAGACATTGAAGAATTAAAAAATGTTGAACAATAAATGTTCAAAAACCAGTTTTGCTTATTTAAAACTAAGTGGAATTTCATGAAGAATTCTCATGGAAAAGCAATTGAAGCATACTGATAGTAGTTGGTGTTTCTTGAAGAAAAAAAAAGAAACCTTTTATTATGGTATCTATTGGATTGTTCTGTATCATACTAGCTACTGTAATATATGAGAGAATGCTGAATAATAAAGTCAAGAATTTTTCAGCACCTCCTTGTACAACTCTTTAAATAGTTGACATAATACAAATACACACATGTGAATATAATATACACTCAAACATTGATAAAATTACACTAAAAGAGGTAAAAAGTAATTAATTTCAAATGGCAATCAATTCATAGCTTGAAATAAAAAATCTTTTGTTCAGATTAGTTCACATTAAAACATTTTTATCATCAAATACCTACAAGTTGTCATAAAATTTTTTACTTAATTTTTCACTGTTTATACTTTATAACATTAACTGGAATAGACTAACTATTTTTAAGCTTTTCTTAAAAGACAGTTGAAAGAAAAATGTAAATGGTTGTAGGAAAAGTAATTACTCCAAAAATTAACTCATACATTGATTAATGAGAGCATAAGTAGGTCTGACTAGAGAATTAGTAAGTACAAGAAGCCATTATGTCCTTACAAATTGGAGTATGATGGACAAAAGCTAATGAATTTGTAATGTCCAATATTGTAACTCTACAAAAAAACTTTTTACAGGTGTGTTTAAACCAGTTTCTATATAATTACCAAATTTAAAAAGAAAAAAAAAAACAAAAAAACAAAAAAAAAACAAGCATTCAGAATTTAAGAGAATAATTTGAAATTCAATCTTGAGTGATCAATTTTTGAACACTATCTTTATCACCTTTAATGATTAGGAACTCTATTCCAGTAATCTCTTTAGATCTGATCTACTGGGGTGGTTTTGTACATACTAAATATTGTAATATATGAGAAAAAGATGAAAAGTTGTCAGTTTGATCTAGAAGTCCTCAAGAAAAAAAAAAAAATAATGTTTTGTCATAAGTTCAAATTTTGTGGAGTGGGTTGGGCCAAGAACTTTTCAGTACTCCCAACATATAACTGTTTACATATTTATAATTTGATATTATATACAAATATATACACAAGTAATATGAATATAATAAAGAAAGCATAAAAAGAATTAGATTTTCTCCAACATCATACACAATAGAAGATACTTCTGCAATGACATGTACAAATGAAGAATGTCATGCTATTCTAAGATATTACCAGATACAAAAGCTAGTTGTAAATTTTGGGTTTAAAAAATAAGGTGTTCACAGGCTAGAATCAGATAAAAAGTATTAGAATTTAATTAGAAGTTCTAAAAACTATACATTTAGAAATAGATGACAATGGAAAATAAGTGAACAAAATATCATTTCTTCAAAATTTATAGTGTAGGTATATTTTAATTTTAAAGAATTACCTAAGTTTTATTACTAAACAATTGGAATCAATTTTATTTTTAAGCCTATTGATTAAATCAAAGATAACAAATATGTTAAAGAAATCTATTTCATATTACTGTTATATTTTTACTTTAAAATTTACATTTCTATTAAATAGTATATTTCCTGTTTTTAATTGTTTTATATATTTACCAAATTGTTGTATAGGGATAAAGTGTCATTGCTGACACTGGAGTTTGAACACAGATCACCAGTGAGCAAACACAGGTGATTCCATTCCTAATAAGTAGATCATGTGATCATAAAGGAAAGGTATATATGGGAATTAGCATGGTGTCTAAGTGATCACGATTCTCTATACTATCCTCTATACTGATCACTCTTTGGATTATTATTCAGTGGTTACTATTCGAACAAGTATTTAAAAAATGGATTGGCAGAATGACATATATGGTACAGGGTCAAAGATGAGAACATAAGAGACACCTGAATCAGCTAAAACATTGATTCACTGAATTAAAAAGTCTCCGAAAAGAGGTACCAATGACACATTTAACATAACCACACCACCAGAAATTGTTCAACCAAGGGTTTGTGGCAAAAGGAAAAGAATGCCAACAGAGTTTGTAACCATCAAACCAAAGTTTAAGTATAGACTCCAGGGGGAAGTCATCTCAAAGTGGAGGTGGTGTTGTATAGGGATAAAGTATCCTTGCTGACACTGGAGTTTGAACACAGATCACCAGTGAGTAAAGGCAGGTGATTCCATTCCTAATAAGTAGACCACATGATCATAAAGGAAAGGTATATACAGGAATTAGTGTGGCCTCTAAGTGATCGTGATTCCCTATACTATCCTTTTCGGATTACCATTCAGTGATTACTATTCGAACAAGTATTACTAGTGTGAGTATTATTCAAAGGAATTACTACTAGTATCTGCGATTCCAAAGTCTTGACTACAACGATCATTACAAATGTGATAACGAGCATTCATTGACATTACAAAAGTGACAATTAAGCGTCTGACATCACAAAATAAATAAATGAAGATTAAGCAGAATATCAAAAGATTGTGAAATATAACCACCATTTATTTTTAAATTTATAGAAAAACATGGAAACTATAGAACTGACTAAACAATTTGAAAATGATTTCCCATGAGTCCTACAGGTACCATTTTGATAACTAGGAGTTAAGTAGTGTTGTTAGGATTATTTTATTATATCTCAAGTAGGAATTTACAAATATAGAAATCAATGTGATAAACATTCTAAGTACAACGAAATTTTGTATAATTGGATTAATATGTTGTTCCCCACCAGGAATTCTAAGGTCAATAATTTGGTTTGAAAAAAAAAAAAAAAAAAAAAAAAAAAAAAAGAAATGAAATCAAAAATTCTGAAACATACTCTTTAAATAGTAATTAGCTAATGAAACCTATATCATTAATCAGTAAAGAATTTTGCTTTATGTTCAATTGTTACTTTCAAATTTTCATATTTAATTGACATTGAAAAAATATCACAATAAATTTTGGGTGATTTTTCTTTTCTGTCAATTCTGAAATTTCTATGCAGCACTTAATAAAGTAACTTCATAATTAATGGTTATTTAGAGGCCGATGGAAGCATTAATTTTTCAAGATTTCTTGTTATTTCAATGATTTATATAAGTTAAACCTAATCTATAGATTTAAACATAGAGCTTCTTTTTGTTGGGAGGTACTTTCATTCCTAGCAAAATATATACTATACAGCTAATGAAAGTTTCATGGAGTTTACAATGACCCCAACAGAAGTTGTCCTCCATTCCATTTGATTATATCTCCGATTTGCTTACATGCATAGCTGTCATCTAAAACATGAAAAAAAATTAAATATTTTTCAATTAACAAAGGAGATGACACTAAATAACAATTAACATAGTTGTTAATATTTTTTAATTTCAGATACATAAAATTGCTATGTAGATAGAGTTTCAAAAAAATTTAACAATAAGAATACAATTCTGAAAAGTATGAAAAAGTTGGAAATCAGAGGACAATCAAAAAATAAATTGAAAATATTGTCATCAATATGAAAAATAGTGACTTTAAGAATGTCACAAAAAGAGAGTTGAAAAAATAATATATAATGATAACAGCCATGAAAAGAGGAGAAAATATTTGGAGAAGTTGTTGTTCCAAATGTAGATAAAAAAAGATGCAAAATATTAAGAACATTGGTTAAAAACATGAAAGCAACAAAACTAACACATATAAGTAAACATTACAAAGACAAACATAAATTGAGCAAAGAAGTACATGATTTTCTCAACTAATTTTTAGTAATGAATGTAGAGCTGATGGCTCAGCTCAAGGTTAGGTCCTTCATGGAAATGGTCAACCAACATGACTCAGAAAACAATAATGGGAAGCTGGAGTAATATCTTGAACAAATTTTGTGGATAATTAAATTACAGATCGCTTTAAAGTTGACGTGAGTCAAAATAAATAAAGAGAATCATTTTAAATTCTTAGACAAGGTATTTTTGAGTGGCAGAAATCACAAGCAAGAAGTTTTAAACTAAAGAGTTTATTCATGCAAGACATAGTTCCTTCAAATTCTTCAAAGCTCACAACCTCCCCAGATATTAACTCATTAGAAAACTTGTATTGATCATGAAAAAGATCTATATGAGAATGAAATAATATACAAGTAGATCTCTGGAAAGCAATAGTACTACTAATAAAAAAAACAAAAAAACAAAAAAAAAAGGATTAATGTAATGTCAAAGAGTCCATTAAAACATCTAAAATGACAGAACAATAATTTATTAAGGAATATGTAATATTTCTATGGCTTATATCTTTTGGACTTATTTTAAGTAAAAACTTATATTGTACTTTACATAATAAAATCCAACACTAAAACATTTTTTTTTAATATAGTTAGATATTACATAAACTTATACGATATACTGTTCGTACAAATATATCCTGAAAATTTTACAAACAACTGTTGGTTAATACCAGTTTTATTGCAAAAAAAAAAACAAAAACAAAAAAACACTGACATGCATAATAAAATCTGACAGTATAGAGAAATAAAAAGATCTGGAAGAAAAGTTTTTTGCAGCTTAATATTAATATTTTTTTAAAATTCAAAACTATCATCATAATATGATAGACAAACTAGCAACAGAATTGTGGGAAGCAGATTAATCAGTTACTAGGAGAAAGATTCAATGTTTAGAGGCTAACTGATAGTGTGGTCATTAAGTGAAAAAAATAGTAAAAATGTAATAAGCATGATTAAAAAATTTATTGGAGAAATAAAGAAACAAAAAAAAGAAAAAGATGTGTGTAAAAATTCTTACTGCCTTGTTATCTTAAAAAAAAAAAAAAAAGTTGAGTATTTTTTTTTAAAATAATGGTGGGTAGAAACTTCTGCACACACATAACTTTTGAAAAAAAAAGTTTTTGGCTGATTTACCTTTTTCTGCGACTGGAACTACAAATGCTGAGAGTTGAACTTCTTTTTGTGGCAACCGTAGAATTTTATTCTTGCCTGCTGAGACGGTCAGTTGCTGTATGGCAGGTGCTGCAAGGGAAGAGACATCACCATCATAAGGAATGGTCTGGGCAAGGACATGGTTGATGGGTGAAGATAAAAAAATCATAAGGAAAAAAGTGGTTGAAAGCTGTCCAGATCTGAGATGTAATAAACTGAAAAAGTTTTTTACAACCCCCAGCATAACATTTTTAATAGTATCTTGTAAGATCAACATAAGGTGGGTATCTGTGAACCCAACAGTTAGCATAAATATTATACTTTATTATTGTTATTACTTTCTCCCCCCCTTTTTATTTCAGGATATATTTATTTATTGGTGGCATCAGTCTGATATAGATGTTCCTATGTCAGGCAGTCAGAAAAAAGTAGTAGTACAAGTAGCTGACATATGCCTAGCATTGGTTGATAGGGTGTGTGTGTGTGTGTGTGTGTGTGTGTAGAGAGATCAATAGGGCCAGAACCTAGCAGGGCACTACAGTTGAGATGAGAGGGTAAGCCTCTTTGGTCAGAGTGCAACTAAATATAATAATAGTTGCTCTGAATACCACTCATCACCAAAGCCGGTACCACCAGTGGCAGCAGATAGTAGACTATAGTCTCCATCAGTAATCTAAGTAGAGGACGATGCCATTTGTTCATCTCAGGTGTGTCAGGCAGGCAGGTAGCATTTTTCGCAAAAGTGAAACACTACTATACTATGAGCAACAGGTGTAGGCATTTCCTTGTTATATTGTCTATGTGATTTTATAAAAGTCAATTAATTAGCACTTATCAAATGTTACTTCTATAGAATTCAACATTAATATACACAACAAAAAAACAATGTTTTGAAAACAATATTTGACAAGGCTTGACAGGGAGAATTTTGCAGGTGACAAATAGTTGGGAAAATGCCAACTGAAGAACCATGTTGAATACTTTTTACCCTCCAAATTTTTAATATTCAAATTTGAACAGAACATCTTAGAAATATTAAAGTAAAGCACTAGATATTATAATAAGGAATAATAATAAAAATATCCCTTCATTAATAAAAAAAAGTCCAAGCAAAATAGTAAAATATTTAAAAAAGAAAATACAAAGAAGGAAATAAAATGAAAGAAATAAAATGTAAAAATAAAACAAAAAACAATTATATCTGATAAATAATAAATATAACAACTCATAAAAAAATTCTATCTTGATTTTAACACATTCAAATATCTGAAAATGTGAGCAATGGATTATTGAAGTTTAGAATATGATTCATTCATACAAGTAGTTATTTGTAATCCCTAATTAATAGCATTTATAATGCATACCAGAGCATTGTAGAAAAAAGTACAGAAGAAGGTTGGAGGAAATGGATATTTGTTGAAAAATAATTACAAAGATCTCCACTTTGTTTTTAAATTATCAACAAAATGAAATATATCATTTTCTCACTATTTTTGCTTCAAAATTCTTATGATGTAGGTGAAAAACGTGTGTGTGTGTGTTACACACATAGTAACATTAAATTACTTTTCATGTAAGATTTATTTGTATTTTTGTTTTTTGCTTTAAAAGAAAAATAGATAAAGAATGACAGAAAAAACGGTGCAAAAAGACAGTATACAAAGAATAAACAGAAAGCAAGACAAAGGGGGAAAAAAAGGAAGCAATGATATGAAGAGAGTGAGAGAAAGAAAATGAACAGTAGAAGATATGGCTGAAGAGAATGAAAGTGATTTTGTTTCACTGTACAATACTGAGTATCAAAAATAGTGTCACAAAAGATATGAGAAAAATAATTAGGAAATGATAAATTATAGAAAATATTATATAATTATGATTGATAAAAAGAATTGTAATAGGAATTTTAGGAAAATAAATAAGTTATAGAAAATGAAAGCAGTGAAATTTTGGTAAAAAAAAAAAAAAAAAAAAAAAATGAGGGATTTAATGTAGTTTATGTCTTTCTTATAGATTTAATCTCAACCAGCTTTTTTGTGATATCTATCTATATAACTTTATTCATAATCATTTTTTTTTCAGACCAAATTACTTTCATTAAAAAAAAAAAAAAAACGGATAAAAGTATTAAGATTTGATCTCAAATATACAAAAGATAAATATGAGGTGCAGGAATAAGAAGATTCCTAAGATTTCTTTAAATATGACACAGGAAAGAAAAAATCTATCTTATTCGGCTGGTTTAAGAAATAAAATATTAATTATTTTTCTTTTTTTTTTTTAAAAACTTCTGCTTGAATGTATTCTCTTATTATATTTTGGGATGTTCATTCAATACGTGTAAATATGGCTCTCCAAAACTTCTTGCCTTTTTGTTGTTCAAACTCTTGACCCTTTTGGCTTTGTTGTTATCTATTAACTCAAAATCCGCAAATAGGTTGCTCATTTTTGCTCTGCTTCTCTCACCTTCAATATACCCTGTAAGCATTAAATTCTCCAAGTGTTTCAGAAAATTTAGCTCTATCTTTTTGATTGTTAACTGCAGTTTCTTTGAAATTCCTATTTTCTTTTTAAAGCTCTCTTTGTTTCTTGTATGCTCTGCCCATTTAGCATTTGTTGGTAGAATCATATCTGTCACTTCAAGTCTCTTCATCTGTGAGGAAATTGTCTAACATTCACAGCCTTATAGAATATCAGATATTTCATAGCAATCCCACATTATTTTCTTCCCTTAATACTTTGATTATTTTTTAAAGTCATCTTTTGATATTCCCATGTGCATTCGGATTTCTGAATCGCACAACCTGAATAGCTAATTGATTTCAAAATTCAATACATATCTGGCAACTTTATGCTAACAACCTTGTATTGTTTTCTTATAGTTAGTCCTTTCCTATTGCTTTCCTTGACTACCTTATCACAGTTCTTTCAAATTTCTTTTGGAATCTGCCTTAAACATAGTGTCATCCAGAAAGTGCATGTTGTTATGGTCATATCTGCCAATCATAAATCCTGGTATATCTAGAAAGTTTTCTTGGAATCATTGTATTGTACAGGTTAAATAAATCCAGTGAGAAAACACATGCTTGTTGTACTGCTCTTTGTAAACTCATTGTCTATTTGCATACCAGCTGTTTGTTCCAAATACAGATTACAGATTACTTGAATATATTTTCTGTGTAAATCAAACTGTCTTATCATTTCTAGTGATTCCTCATGTTGTATACTATCAAATGTCTGTATGTTATATATGAAACATCAGTACAGATGTATCACTACATTTGGATTGTTTACAACAATTAGATCACAAAAATTCCATTTCTTATTTCAGTCTTAAACAAGGCCAAACTGTTTTTACCCAACTTCTGATCTAATTCTGCTACAAGCTCTATTCATTAGAATCTTAAATTTTAGTTTAGATACATTGCTCATAAAGGTGATTTTTTGGAGTTTGCATTCATTTATAGCTGGTTTCTTTAGCAGTGTTATGAAGATTGATATAATGAGCGCTGGTATTTTGCCCCTATCATATATTTTCATTTATTACCTCACTAACACTATTAATCCAAAAATCACCTAAGGCTGTCACAAATCTCTGTTACAAACTCATCTAGTCCTGCTGCTTTTTTCTTTATCTTAGTCGATGCCAGCCTAACCTCAATATTATGAGCCCTTCCATGTTTATAAGTGTCAGCTCTGTAGTACATTTTTCTTTTTCCATTATGATTGCTCCTCCTTTAAATTTTATACATGCTGCCAATGGTCATGGTTTCTGCCTTATTTCTTTTATCTTTTGTGCAGACCTGCTACATGTGATTTGTACAAGTTTTTCTATCTCTGCACATTTTTCATAGAGCCACTCATCTTTTGCTTGCTTGCATTTATTTCTGATGATTTTGTTTAACATCATATACTCTTTACTTTTTCTGCTGTTTCTCTTTCATTAAATAGAGAATTTCATCTCTCACCCACTTCTTTTGTCTTTCTTTCCCTAAAATGACTTCTTTTGCTGTTGTCACTAATGTATTCCTTAAAGTGGTCCACTTTAATTTCTTGACTTGTCCCAAAGTTTCATATTTGTTCTAAACTGTAATTGCATATTTGTAAGCGGAATCAATGTAGAGTTTATTATTTCAAAGTTTACACAACAGCTTTCATTATTTTTTGTAATTTTAGCCTTAGTTTGCATATAACTGGAAGGTGATTACTCCTACAGTCAGGACTTGTGTATGTTTTAGAGTGAAAAATTATATTCTGAAATAATTCTTTTATGGTTGTCTCTGTTTTTTTTATATTGCCTGCTGTTTTTTTTTTTTTGCATGTCCACAAGTATCTTAAATATTCTTCAAATCAAGTGTTGGTTACTGGCCATGAAACAGCCATTCATGTGACTTACTCTGATATTTTATATTTTCTAATGTTGTGTAAAAACTTTATTTCCTCTTTGTTACTTTCTGACATGGGTGCATATATCATAATAATCACTATATTGGATGGCTCCTCTTTAAATTTCCCCATAAGAACATTAACAGTTACCAGTATCCCTAAACATTTCCTTTTGTCATTATTTCATATTAGTTCAATTCATCTTTCATTTTTCTTTCATTCTGCATGTCTTCAAAAACAGATTTTTATTAAAAAACAAAAATCATTTATGTAAGCTTTCATTATGTTACAGCAAGCATATAGTGGAATATAAATTTTCTCTTCTCCCATATACTATTCAAACTATTGTTATCATCTCTGTTTTCTTTTGATTGATAGATTCTGCAGGTGTATATTGTCTCTAGTCATTAGGCTTATAGAATAATGAAAAGCCTTAAACTCAAATATGTTGTCTACTTTGCATGAGTAAAATAAACTTTAATGAAAACTTGTAAAAAAAAAAAAAAAAAAAATCAACTGGTAAAGCTGCAAAATTTAAAATATTTTATTTTTAAAGAGTGTAAAAGTAAAAGCATCCAAATTAACATTCACTGATTTACTTTGATTACATAAAATGATTCAGTGACGATACATTTTCTCTTTTAGTATATATATATATATATATATATATATAAAAGAGAGAGACAGACAGAGAAGGAGGGACAAGA